CTTTGTGTACCTGGGTTCAATGATCAGTGATTAGGGGGGGGCCACGAGTAGGAAATTCGGAGACGTACGCAGATGGGCAAAGCTGTCATGGGTAAAATGTCAAGGATCTGGCGAGACAGAAATATCTCCAACAAAACCAAAGTGAGACTTGTGAAGACGCAGGTATTCGCGATATTTCTGTACGCCTCCGAATCTTGGTCAATTCGCGCAGTGGACCGGAAAAAAATGGAAGCGTTTGAAATGTGGTGTTGGAGAGGAATGTTGCGCGTAGCGTGGACAGCGAAACGCACCAACAAGTATATTCTTGACCAACTAAACATTAAGAATAGGCTCTCCAAAATTTGCTATCAACGAATTCTAAATTATTTGGTCACATCGCCCGTAGGGAGCCAGATAATTTTGGAAAACTGGTTGTAGTTGGGAAAGTGGATGGCAAAATACCACTTCGCGATCACCTATCCGTTGGTCAAGTGAAACTTATAACCGGGCTTCCTGTTTCCTGAAGGCCGAAGACAGAGTGGTGTGGAAGCAGCTCGTTTAGGACGGACACGACCTTCAGTAATGAAGACTACGAAGAAGAAGAAGAACGTCTAGCTTAAAGAATAAGAACGATTTTATGTAAATAATGAAGAGACTTGATTTGAGTGTCCGCATCCTGAACTCGAATCTCAGTGCCTCCTATGATATAGTTGATAGCCCTTTTTAAGTTCTGATTTAAGACGAGAATTTAGACGAATCACTGAGCAGCACATGTGGAAAAATTTCATTTTACAGACCAATAATATCTGCAAAAGCTACCGATCTGCTACCGATCTGATTGTTAATGTATATATTTTTTTGTTAACTGTATAACTTTTTACGTCGAATATAAAACAAAAGCTGTTTAAAAGAAATTTAAATGGGTATTTATGTATTGTTCCAAGAAAAGTTAGTTTTATTATATTTGTAGTACAGATCTTTCTGTATTAAATGTTTTACATTTTCATGTAATATTAAGTAGTTACTTCATTCAAACAATACAAAGCATTCATTCATATATATATATATATATATATATACAGCGTGTCGTTACCATCGCGAATAATGACGCGTCGAATAATGACCTGTCGCGACAATAAATGAACAGACGTCTAACGCTACATGCCAATAATCATAAAAAATATTAACGTTAAACAAAATCCATAATTAAAAAAAAGTATTTTTCCAACAAACTAATTAAGTAACAAAGAAACAAAATTTGTAACATCCTATACAACTCGCGCCACAGCGTCGTATTACAAGCCTCTCCTTCTAACAGTATGTTTTATCTCTTTTAAATTCATTCAACCCATTCATATGCTTTTTGACCTTTACAAATGAACTTTACGTTACAGTTTTATACGTAAGGGTGTTGAATTATTTGTTTTGGAAAATTTAATAACTCTGTAAATATTGATATTTAAAGAATGTAAATGTACACTTATGTATAATGTACACTAATACAATTTTAAAAAGTTATCCCCTATATGTGTGTTCATTTATTGTCGCGATTGTAAAGACACGCTGTATATATAGTATATTCTTAAACCTGAACTGTATTCGATAATACGAATAAGAATGACATACAGTCGTCAATACTACACAGCAACTATACTTTTGTTATAAAAATACAGAAACTAGGAGGATGATAAGACAGAAACAAAAAGTATTTTAATTTATCTGATTCCATTCTCTTTTAATAATGAGCGTTGTCAAAGAAGAGACGAACGAAAACAAACTCCATTGTTTTACATCGAATCAAATTGGCAAACGGCTATTTATAGTTCACCTTTCTATTTGCAACAGAAAAAAGAAAATTTTATTGAAGATTAGATTAATTACATTTGTGAAAACGTAGGGCAAGGTGATTTTTTCATTTCATTAAAAATAAATTCTAAATAAAAGACGGATAGAAAATATCGTTATACCGTACCGATGTATCGTTATACCGTGATTTTCCTCAGAAATTAACAAATAATGAATTTCTTTCGCAAGAGGACCACCTATCATTTTATGAATCATTAATATGTATGTAGAATTTACACAATGATATAAAATTTTATTTTAAATCATCAACGTGAGTGATGAAGCGGCCGGTATCTGTTATGGAAAAGTTGCGCTTGCCAAATATGAAAACTAAATCAGTATTGCTGTAATTTTTAGAACTGTAATTAATCCGCCCCGGGATAGCACAGGAGCAATATTAATTGAAAATTTGTTCCAAACGTATTAAATTAATAACACGTGAGTTGCCTTTGGCGTGTATGGTAATTGAGTTTCCAATTATTCTTAAGCCCCCGATTATAGTGTATGGTGCAGTTACTGGCATCGGAGCATTGAGCCATGAGTTCGATTCTGATTCTCGATGATAATAAAATTACATGATCAAATAATAATTGTCGCGGGTTAACATATTCGTATATATTAAACTTGTATCTGTTTACAAGCTGCCCTGCTACACAAAATATCGTTATTCTTCAATTGCGGTAGAAATTGTAATAAAATACAACAAAATCAACATTGTAATCTTATTTGTATGAACGTATGAAACAAGCCTTATAGTAATACAGAAGTATATTGAAGCTTTAATGACGACATTCTAAATATTACTATACATACGGTACAAAGAAATATTAACGGAAGAACAATATGCATTATAATACGCAAAGTTTATGAATTGGCTAAAATATTATTGAAGTAACATTGTATTAGTTGAGAATTTTTGTTTCAAGAATAAGGTTCATGATAAAAAATATGAGATGAACTCAAACTTTGTTTTTATAAACCGTAAATTATTCCAAAGTTATATACGATGTCGTAATCTTAAGTTAATCATTCCAGATATATCAGTTCCTACTGGACTGAGTGCAAATTCAAAGTTTCCGAAACTTTAACAAACATCTATGTTCGACAAACTAACATTCGCAAATTAATTTATCCTTCATTAAATATCGTAGAAAGTTAGATAGATACCTTCAATTTGTTGAATATTACCCCATTGTCCATGAAGTAAGTCCTAAACACAAAAGATATTACAGGTTTGAAAAAACTTTTTACAAAAGCATACAAAAATTCCCTATTATAAATGTTGCGTAGTATTCCCTGTAAAAAATCTTATCTTTCAAGCTACCTATTAGTTTCTATGGATACTAAGCGCCTTGCACTTTTCACTTACCGTAAATCCTTTATTAATTTAATGCTGCACTGTAATATCCAGAGTCTGTTGTAACGGTTTGTTAATAACAGTAACATCATGATTGTTTTACGTTTGATATTTTTATATTTTTACATTTTTAAAATAAATTACCCAGGTTTTCATATTCATAAGGATAGGAGAATTAGTATTCAGAAATAATGTATTCGTTGGCAACAAAACCATGATAACAATACCTCTCCGATTGACATGATAACAGTAGCAACAGTTTTCACTGAACAATTTTCTAAAAATAAATATCTATCAAAGTGATCATTTTAAAACTATAAACGGATTACTTAAAAATGACTGCTTGTCATTTGTATTCTGGTAAAGAAGGAGTTCTTTCAGCACCAGCACGTGAAGACTTGTAATATCCTGAAAAGACACGGTTCAATTTCAGAATGGAAATAACTAACAGTTGTTTTTGACATAAACTACTTTAGTTAACATTTTTGTACACGTAGCCATGCGATTAATCTATAATGGTTTTAATTACTGATGCCGTTCATCTTGTATTTTTGTAAGAAGTATCATACTCATTTACTCTGGAAGTAATATTAATAACATAATATTTTTTTAACGTCGTCTATTGTTTTCGGGTGAGTTATTAGATTTATTATTAATAATACCAGTTTATATCACCATATACTATGGTATATTGTGTAGTATTTATAGTATTATAATGTTATTAGTCTTGAAAATGAATCATAAATATTCCACTGAAAACAAGTAAAATTAAGTGATTGCAAATTCTACGAAACCCTTGCGCAAATTTTCCTTTCTCCTTTCGGTCCAGACTTGTGACGAGGAAACTTTTCTGAACAGTCATAATTTTAATATGGTACCTCTATTTCAATTAAAGTTTTAATTTCCTGCCTAATCTTTCTTCCCAAATTCGTGTAAGATTAGTTAAATCTGTGACAATTACGAGTAAATTTGTATCCGTTAGGATATTATCAACTTTATCTTTGTTGGAAAATTATCGGGTTGATATATTTGAAAATTTCTTTACTCGATTACGGCTGTTATTCCGTATATTAAACTAATAGGTTTATGATAGAGTGACTGGTTGATCAAAATTTATAAAAATGGTGACTGATTTTTGTTAACTATGTACATTTTTGTTAACGAAGTTTTTGTACGAAAGTTTTCATGTAAGATGTTAAAATATGAAAATAAAAACCAATGAACGTGATTTCACTACTTCGTTACCTTACCTCAGTAACTAAGTAAAATTAGACCAACCTATCCTACCGATCTACTTGGTTTAACGAACACGTACCTACGCCTAACGTCTAAAAATAAAACAAAATTCCGTTACGTCAGTCTGACATTTCTCCTAGGTGTTAAGATAGATTTATGGGCGGTATCCAAAGCACGAATCCAAAATAATTGATCGTTAAAATTAACTATCTAACAGCGACACGATTACCTACATAGATGAGGCTTGCGTGAAGCACCAAACTTCAAACCGATATGTACCGTGGTGGCTAAAACTGCCTATATGGTCAAACTACTTTAGACGTCGATGAAATAAATAAGAAGTATAACTACAAAATTATATTGATAAACATAAATTAATGTATGTTGTATAGATACTATAAATTGTAATATAGATACTACTTATTTTGGAAATAAAATAATTCAATGACATATATTTCAACTTTTACTAGTTAAAAATTTTAATAAGCCATTGTTCATAAATAAAATATAATACCATTAATATTAGACGTTAACAAGTTATTAAAACATTTTATAAAAAGAAAAAAATATTTGGAAATTTCAGATTACGGAATCTCTGAAGCGCCTACGCGCCAGCAAGAAGACTTCTCGTTTTTCTGACGACATCGACTTCGAGAACAGCGTGTCCAATCTTGAAAACCGTATGCGTATATCTGATAAAATACTCGAATCTGTAGGCATTGGTCAGTCTGAAGTAAGTGGAGCTAGGAGAGCACTGGCTGAAAACGAAGAACGTACAAGAGAAACGCATTGCACGGAGACTTAACGAAGACAGCTCACTAACTAAATGGACAGCTTTGAAAGGTGTCGATGAGGAATCAGCTGCAGCTCAACGTGCTAAAGCGACCAGGGCTCGCTTGACTGACCTAGAGGATGAGATGTCTGAGCTTTCCGAGAGGACTGCCGCCAGGGAGAAACGCGCTGCCCGTCTTCGTGCTTTAGTTGCCGACACGGACTCCACGGACACAACTGTTGCCGCCTCCAAAATCACCATCCGCGCAGAGAGGGAGAAGAAACAAGTCACATTTTAAATTTTGCAATACCAAAATTATAATTTCAAAGAGTCGACTAAATGCTCTGATTAGTTTGGTATAGTATCACCGCAGTTAATGGTGTTTTTGAAGATAGATAGGTTTGCTAGAATGTATCCTGCATTTGTCATTGTTATTGATCGATTTAATGTCTATTTTATACTTGATGCATAGAATAAACTGCTAAGTATTATCAATGTTTCATTTTATGGATTCGTTATAAGATAATATAGAAAATCTCTAGAATCTAATAAGAAAGAAACAATGACTCAAATAAATATGTATTACTTCATTTTGTGACATCCGAATGAAGGCATTTATTCAAAATTAATTACTGTTTATATTGTAATATCATATGTGTTCCTTCATTGGTTCCCGACAGTAAATATATTTTTTCCTGCCTACCGATATATTACTATATCAAGATCAAACTAAAATCAATTTCTCATGATAGTCACTGGGTACTATAAAATTGAAAACGAAGCGTAAAATTCACCTGAAACCAACGAGATTTATGTACATAAAACAAAACAGAAGGCTTCATTGTATACTATTTGGGATTTGTGACGACATATAATAATTCAAATACCTAGGGGAGAGGTGGTATACTTGATCCCCGAGGATACATGATCCCCCATTTAAAACTAGCGCCAAAAAGTGTTTAAAGGTGTTCTGTTCCGAAAAAAAAAACATTAAACCGAAACAACAGTTCGTTGCCAAAATAATTGGAAATTTATGTTTTTACCGGATCTTACTTGTTTTGTTTAGTGTACGACAATTCGAAAAACTTCAGGTACGTGTACTTTACAATTTTTTGTTTGTATTTATGAAACATTGTGTGTATTTAGCTGTGTAAATTCAATTATTTCCGAGTCAAATGTTTTCATCTTGTTGCTGTATTTTTTTTCCATTTTAAATAAAGTTACTGCTTCGGGATAGTTGATCCCTTTTGCTAGGGGGATGCTTGAACCCGGAATCAAGTATCCCACCTATAATTCTTTTGTTTGGGTCAAGAATTAAATCTCATAACTTCCGTTATTTTAGATGCCGCGGAAGTACGTATCGAAGCAAGGAGCCATGAAGAGGGTACCTTACGACCCGGAGGCCTTGAAAAATGCGGTCTAAGCAGTTAAAAATGGAGCTGCTTACAAAACCGTCGCCAGAGAATTTAAAATTAATGTCATGACACTTAAAAGGCTATGCCGTCGAGACTCTTATGTTCAACCTGGTTTTACCAATAGACAAATTTTGTCCAAACGTCACGAGGATGAGCTAGGAGCGTATCTTGTTCATATGTCTAAATGTATTATGGACTTACCGTTGTACAATTGCGTAAGGTAGCTTACCAATTCGCCAAAGCAAATAAGATGAAATATCCCTCTTCATGGGATCACTCGCAACAGGCGGGTCGCGATTGGTATCGTGGATTTTTGGAGAGACAGCAAACTCTATCCTTAAGAACTCCAGAGCCTACCAGCTTGGCGCGAGCGACAGCGTTTAATAAACACACCGTGGCGGAATTTTTTGGAAATTTGACTGCAGTTTTTAATAAGCACGAATTTACTGCTGAAAGGGTGTGGAATATTGACGAAACAGGGGTAACAACTGTCCATAAACCCAGCAAAATTATTGCAGTTAAGGGTTCCAAACAAGTAGGAAAAATGACATCGGCCGAACGAGGTGAGCTGGTTACCGTTTGTGCCTGTATTAACGCTGCCGGGGGCCACATCCCGCCATACATGATATTCCCCCGAAAAAACTGGCAGGATAGGTTCCACAATCATGCCCCTCCTAGCAGCGATGCAACTACTCATCCTAGTGGATGGATGACGGGCGACAGTTTTATAAAATTCCTCAAGCATTTTGTTCGTCATGTTCAACCCAACACTGATAGGAAACACCTCATCATCATGGACAATCACGAGAGTCATTGTTTTGTCGACGCCCTCAACTACGCAAAAGACAACGGAATCGTTCTTCTCACAATTCCACCACACACATCCCACAAGCTGCAGCCATTAGACAGGACTGTTTTTGGCCCCTTAAAAACCTTTTATTCTCAGGCAGCATCAAATTTTATGCTGAGACACCCCGGGAGAACAATCACAATCTACGACGTTTCGGAACTGTTAGGGGAAGCTTTACCAAGGGCTATGGTGCCTACCAATATAATTAGTGGCTTCAGGGCGGCTGGAATATGGCCCATAAATGCCGACATTTTCACGGAGAGTGAGTTCATGGCCAGTTTAGTTACGGACAGCCCTCCCCCTTCTCAACTTGAAGAACCAGCACAGAGAAGTATGGCAGCGTTGGACTGTGCTCCCCCTTCCCCGCTTGATGAACCCATACAGAGCAGTGTGATAGCGTCGGACTGCCCTCTCCCTTCTCCACTTGAGGAGCCCGTAGAAAGCAGCAGTGTGAGTGAACGCGCTTCCCCATCCTTACTTGGAGGATCAGTGCCGATGCACTTTTCACCACAGGATATCATGCCCTACCCCAAGGCAGGTCCACGCTAGCAGTCGTCGCGCGGGAGGAAGCGAGGACGTACTCGCATCCTAACCGATACTCCGGAAAAAGCAGCCATCGAAGAACAATCAAATAAAAAGTTGGCGAAGATAGCGGAGATAGAAATGAAAAGGAAGATTAAAGAAAATAGGCCTACCAAGAAAACAGTGAGACAAACCTTTTCACTAAAAAAAATTGACGATGACACCTCATCTGATTCTGATGAATGTCCTCCACTTCCATCGTCGTCATGGGGGGAAGAAGAGTTATGCAGCGATGGCGGGGGTCATAGAGCTTTTGAGCCCATCAGAAAAGAACTAGGGGAATTTGTAGTTGCAATTTACAATGGTTTGTCATACCCAGGAAAAATTACAAAAATACATGAAAATGGGGCTACAATAAAAGCAATGGAAAAAAGTGGGAGGCTTTGGAAGTGGCCAGCAAGGGAAGACGAAATATTTTATGTGTGGGGTGACATTTTGGGACACTTGCCGGAGCCGACGAAATTTTCAAAAACACGTGACATTTATTCCGTGCCACTTCTCGAATAATTTTCCCATTTATTTTTTGTCTGTGTTTTCAATTTTTTTATGTTGTTTTCATTTTGTACCTACTCATCCTTCGAGTCGTTAATTACAACTTATTAATAGTAGACCCAAGTTCATATAATTTCCATATTTAGGTAGGCCTATGGCTGAAACTTTGACGGGTGGGATGATTGATCCTCCGGGATCATACAACCCACTCACCGGGATCAAGTATCCCCATAGGGGTTACTTGATCCTTGTGTCGGACTTTAAAAAAACCCTTTTTGTCGTTTTATTTAATAAATAAGAAGGTCTGTATTGGTGCTAAATCAGTAGTATTGAACGGAAATACATGTGTGATTTAAAAAGTCAGATTTATGAAAATGGTTCGAATTACTAAAAGAAAACCAAAACAGGGATCAGGTATACCACCTCTCCCCTACACAAAAAATTTTAATAGTCAATGACAATTTCAGTAAGGGATATGATATATATACAAATAATAATTAAGTTTTACCTAGTGTCTTTGTTTTTAATCGTCTATACTTTATAGTCACGACCTTTGATGATTGAAGAACTTCTATATGTACAACTTCAAAACTAAATTTTCCCGAACTTGCTAAACTCTTTGAATATGTGGGCATTAAGTGAAATGTAGGACTTATCAGCTACGGGGACTCGAGGTTAATTTTACGCTATTCATTAACTGACAGTAGTGACGAAATCTGCCGCGGCTGTACTTTGACTAGTTGTAAATAAAGGTAATCTATGAACGGATGCGTATTAAAACAAAAGTAATACTTATCAGTTTCAAGACGAGCTTAATATGGGTTAAATAGATTGGCCTGCACTCAAACCAGACGAATCCCATCAATCACCTATAGAATGAGCTGAAGAATAGGGTCTGATCCAGGAATCATTTTTTCACCCAAAATAACATCAATGGTTATAATTTTTCGTCATCAGGGATTAAATATTTGGAGATTTATCGACCGAGTTCGTGATATAAATTTTGTATTAATTTCTAATTTGTTTAACACACATTTTTTTTAATGTAAGAAGAGCGAGCGTAGTACTGATTCACCTGATGCCAGTGCTTCGCACCGCCCATGGACATCGTCAACACCTTAAAAAATATCCTACTTACCTCACTCAATTTTTTCTCATTTTAACAATCGCAAGCGAATCTCAGAAGTACAATACTTCCACCTCACGTTGGTCGCCGGCGGGACTGTGGTACCTAGAGGAGCCTGCCCCCGTTCATGGAAGAGTATTATATTGTATAATATTGTAATATTATATATATTGTATAATATAAGTATAATATTGTTACCCAACTCCGAACCACAACGGGAAATAATTGTTATAATTATGGCACATATTTAAAAATTATTTTTTTGTTCAAAAACATTGCCCTTACTTTGGGATAGCATTATCCTGTGTTGTAAGGACGTTTTTCAAAACTTAAATTTCACGCGGACAAACACTCAGATGAGGAACAACTGTCTGTGGGTCGTAAAACGCCATCTAGTTATATACTATGAAACATATCTATATCTCATTTAAAATGCGTATGCGCAATGGACACGCAATCATCCAATAGATGGCGGTGGTTTCCATGGTGTAGCCTCATACGCATATCATGGATTAATTCCATAAATATAGACTGTATATTTTATTAAAAACATATTTGTGAGTAATACTTAAACCTCCTTTACGTTCCAGTAAACAAACTTTTTCTCTATTTACAAGAATAGCTTATTTTTAATAACATAATTATGTACAGAAGAAAGTAGTGTTTGATATTCTACATATGAATAAATAAATAAATGTTTTGTGTGAAAGACTATATTCTAAATACAGATGGACAACTTTTCAATACTGGTACAACTTAGTAAATGATACATGAAATGAAGGAGTTAAACAAAAGTTTTAAGTGAATCAAGGTGATACATTTTATGCTATATTTTACACAAATTACTAATTTATTTTAATAACCAAACGCCACTTTACAAAGTTTGTCATTAGGTGGTGCTACTAACAAGATGTAAATATAATCACATGTTATTAATTACTTAAAACATAAAAATAAGTGCCTAAGTTAAGTTTGTGATCACAAATAGTCATTATATATATATATATATATATATATATATATATATAATGTTACTTACTTCAAATCTATATCTACGTTAAAAGTGGGTTGTACGTGAAAGACGGATGTAAGCAGCTCTCGATGTGTTTAATTATATTTGAAAGCGTTAAAGCCGATTAGTACGGAAAAGCCTTAATTTCCGACCTCAATGAAATGAAGTTAATCCTGTCTCTTTCTTCTAAAACAAATCTAAATTGGTTAACACTACTGAAAGCAAGAAAAAATTGTTTCCAATGTCTGAATTAGTTTTTACTTTTGAAACACGAACCTTTTGTTGCGATTAATGAAACCATCGAAACTTTAATTTTATAGAACATTGAAATTGCATTTTTATTGAAAACACCGACAGGAACGATGGAAATCATTTAACCGCAATGTTAAATTTTATCTGATACATATTTTAAATAAACATTTGCGTAATAGTTTTCTTTCACTGGTTTTTATAAAAAGATTTTACCGTCATAATAATACCGGCTATTTAAAGTTAATTGCCGTCTTTATGCAAAGTTTTATAGAACAGGACGAAAATTATAAAGGCACAAGAACAAAAACAAATGGCAAAAATGGTTTGGTATATTAAGTATGAAGTAACTTGTACACATAGGTTGTTTATGAAAGCTTATGCATTGCTGTAGAAATCCATGGGGGTCACCGATTTATCAACCACACCAATAAATCAAATTACCTTGTGGTGTCACTGTAGTTATATGGTCATCACGGGATTTTTCCGCCGCGGTTTCTTAGCTTTCCGCTGCGGTAGGGCTCTTGTTTCCATCATCAACTTTGTTTTATACTATGTAGTGATTGTTACCGGGGGGGCTTCTACTATTTACTAAGCGCAATTGTATGTTGAGTCACACGATCTTGATAATACAGCCATTTTGACAGATTCTAAGAGTTGTTTGCTGGCTATGCTATCCAATCAATTTCCTTCAAATCAAAATCAGACAGATGTTTTGTGAAAGGAATTAATATGTCCTTGGCATTGATTCTTAGACACTGCGGTATGTATGGTTATGTTGAAGCTGATTAGTAGGAAAGGAATGTTTTGAATGGTCTCGCGTAAGATCTTATATATTGCCTTGATTGTGTGTCTTTTAAAAGAAGAAACCTTATGGTAAAATGGAAATCTATCTGGAAATCAACTCATCTTGTAAAGGAAAAATATTAAGCTTTTGTTCGCTCCGAAGTTCCTACCAAGCCATAATTTTCTCTTTGTAAATGTGGAGTAGACGAAGGAAACACTGATCATATATTTTTATCTGACGAAAGTTACCACACTCCATGATTTGCTTCCTTCCTATATTCCTCGTCCTATAATTTTTATTTTCCCTTCTCAACCTCTTCTTTGGTTTATGTTTTGTGTGATTATATTACCTCAAATAATATTAGACTGTAATTGTTTGTCTTTATGAACCCTTAACCTAATAAATCTGGATTTACATCCAGGGAGTCTTGTTTTAGGAGTGTCAACAGACACTGCCAAAATAATATATATTAAATAAATATATCAATATACATATAATCTTGTATATTCACCATGCTTTTTCGTGCAGAGTTGAGTTTAGCTATGTTGCATAATAATTAACAATGGTAAAGAATGAACAGTGTTCATTGGCATATTCATGGGAAAAAGAAAGAAGAAGAATATTCAATTAAAACTAGTGAAACCGAAGGCATTTATTTATTCCGGCTGTATTTCGACCAAAATGTTAAATTCATTATGAGTTGTGTGTCCTGTCACCATTACAAGCCTACAAGGCCAGCGCAAGGTTAATTGGGATGCACGTTTCGCAAATCAAGCACGAAATTATACGGGCTGACTTAAAATTAATTACAACTTTGGCGTAATGTGTATGAGCCTCAACGTAAAGTTTATACGTGGTACTATGATAATGATTCATAGATATAGCGAATTGAACATTTTTTTATTTTCTTTTTACTTTAGAACTGACTCTTTATTACCCGTATATTACTGTATACTACGTAATAGTAGTTTGTCATCTAACCTAAACTTTAATCAACTAATGAACGCTTTCGGCTTCGTACTTTTATTTAACTTCCTAAATGTTCAAATCGTTTATAATCAAATTTATTTTAGTACTTATAAGTATTTTATTCGTTTTTAAACGACTAACAGGCCCCATTATTTTTCAATTTTAATGAAATTTCAATAAAAGTTTTAGTAATTTTTTTTTTGTGAAGTTCTTTAAAATTTTCAAAAAAACGTTCTTGTAGCTTTTTATGTAGCAGCCGAGCATGCTTCTCCCTTTACTATTGTAAATGTTCACTCCAATATTGTGAGGACTTTGCCTAATTAATCTTAAGGGTTTAAAGTTGTATTAACCTAAAATATCATCAAAACGGCCTTTACAAAGTCTCGTAAAGAATCGAACCGAATCCATGAAATTCTACCATTCTACCGCGGAATGATGGCGGTAGATTTTGGCGGCTGGACAAGAACATTTTTTCCATAATTTATTAATTAGGTACTTTATGTACTCATCGATAAAATGTTGAAGGCTTAAGAATTAACAGATTTGTATTCGGCATGATACATGTATGTAGCTTTTTGGGTAAAAATAATTTATTATAATTAAAATAATTTATTATAAAAATATTTTATTTCGTTTTTATTTTAAACGCTTTTTCAAAAAGTTTAAAAAATTTGAAATACTTATGAAACACCCTCTATTTACGTATTGGCAAAAGAATCTGAACTGCATCGATGCCAATGCCAAACAATTCGTCTTTACGCATGCCCATCGACAGTCCAATACGAATGTCAATATATTATAAAATATTTTCATTGCTGGATTTGTTTTCAATATCAAAAATAGCGAGATATTAAAGTGTTAGCATGCGAATCCCTTTATGTGAACTACTACCAATAAAAACATGAAAAGGTGTAAGTACTCTTACCTGTGCCAGACGAGGAAATCGTCATTACAAGTTTTTTTAGGCTAAACTTTTCATTTTAGCCTTAAAAAATTTATTAAATTCGTTCATTTGAACGAACTTAATAACGAATATAATATAAAGAACGAATTTAATTCTATTTTAATTTTTATCTAATATTTAGTTTCAATTAACTGTTGATAATCTTATTATTCGGATTTTATGTTAATTATTGTGAAAAAGATTTATTAAAAAACTTGAAACTTGTGAATACTTAAAAGTAAAGTAAAGTATCAGCCTATAAAAGTCCCACTGTTGGGCAAAGGCCTCCTGTGTACAGAAGATATCAGGGCATCAGTCCACTGCGAAATGGCGGACTTCACATATCTTCGAAATATTTTTTTTGCTATTATTTCGAAAATATGCAGGTTTCCTCACGATGTTTTCCTTCACCGCTGAGTACGTGATAATTCAGCACTTAAAATTGAGAATTTCATGGTAGTGCTGGCGCCGGGGATCGAACTTAGGTTGCTAGAGTATATTAAATTAAAGGCGAGCGCCCGGACACTGAGATATCACGGCTCTTGCCATTACTTACTACAAGTTAAAAGAAAATTGTGAAAATACCATTACTAACAATGTACATCTCATTTAGAATTGAGTATCTCTTAATATCGCAACCTCACTAAAAGAATATCGCAACCTCACTAAAAGGGCGACACGTTTTATTTTTGTTTAAGGCCTCACGCCAATTGTTTTGTAATAAATAACAGCATGATATGAACCTTACTCCTCAGGTGCCAAAAGACACTATTGACTATTAAGTTCAAGAATTTTTTTTTTTGATAAAATTACTGCTATCCGTGCGAAGTCGAGACGAGTCGCTAGTATTAAAAACGCAATTGTATATATATATATACATATGTATATATATATATATATATATATATATATATATATATATATATGATATATATATATATATATATATATATTTATATATATATATATGTATATATGTATATAATTCTTCCGTACATGTGTATGTCACTGAACTCCCCCTAAACGGCTGGACTGGTATTAATGAATTTTTTGTGTCTTTTGGTCGATTTGAGAATGGTTTAGACAATTCGGTCCACTCGAATTTAAGTCGTGTGTACAGGACAACGGCTGTCCGGTCCGGCAAGGACAATGTTTAACAAAATAAATAGTCGTCATCTTTAAAAGGTTTCCATAAGTGTTTTGCAATTCATTACCTTTCGTTAATTAATTAATTTCTTTGTTCAGCTTTTATACAGCATCAGCAATATTTCAAAGTTGATCGCGTGGGCTTTCAGCTCGTGTTACTTGTGTTAAAATTATTTTATTTATTAAGTAGCCATATTTTATATAAGCTTTTATAGAGATGAACAGTACATACATTTACGATCAAGATGTGTAAAAAAGTGTAAATGCTCTGTCTCTGTACAGAAGATTGATAATAGCAACCAAAAACAAAGCTAAGATGTGAAAAGTTGTGACTTTGACTTTTAATTTTGGTAATAACATAGTCTTACCTTAATCTATTTTAATAAAATAAAAAGTTCTATGACTACAAATATTGTAATGCAGATTTCATAATACTAAAAATTCATAAAAATGTATTACACTACAATATCTTTTGACTATATAAGTTTCTTTTATATTAAAATAGTTACTTCAGGGGAAAAACAATATATCAAGTAAATAAACTGGTAAAAGATTCAACAAAATTCCTTTTTATACTTACAAGACATCATTCAATCGTTATCATTTTGTATATCCAAAACTTCATCGTATGTCAACCATATATTAGTTTTTTAGTTTTAGTTTAGTTGCTAGTACTTCGGTAGTTAGAACAGCTATGACGAAACTTTTTCTGTAATAAATAATGTAAACCACTCTTTTAATAATTTTTTTATACGATCAAAGATCAATAATAGATTCTTTTATTCTATTATAGACATTATTGTAAAATGTACTAAATTGTTATCTAGGCCTTACTCACCTCAATAGAATTTTGTTGGTGGAGATTATCATCAGCATGTCGCTGTACTTTTTTTACCCTACTTGCTTAAATATACGTTATATTACTACATGTAACTATAATCATCCTTAAAAATAAAAATAAACCAGTCGAACCCGTATAAATGAGAGTTCAAGGGACCGCAATAACTTTTTCGCTTACAGAAGTTTCTCACTAACCTGAGTTTCTAGCTAAAAGAGGTACAGAAATGGCCATTATCACTCATAGAATTAAAATTAATGGTACAGCAAATATGCAGTGAAATATTGTGTGTATGTGTGTCTTTCATGACCAATTTTACTCACAAGAACGATACTAGAAATCTTACACATCTATTCTAAAATATCCGTTACTTTTCCTAATTGTTGTCAAGGGTATGTTCGATCAAACGCAAATATCAAAGGGTCCACGACTGCCTCGTTTAGAGGCTTATATTTCTCACATGTAGAGGTTTCTGGGGCTAAATAATCACTTAGAGTTTAAGCCGTAAAATTATTTAAAACTAGCTTTTCGCCCGCGGCTTCGCACGCGTTGAAGCCCTTAAATAATTATCTTTTAACCCTTTACAACGCTTTTTTCCAATTAAAAAATAGCCTTTAGTATTCTTTACCAAATATTATTTAAATCGGTTCAGTAGGTTTAGAGTGAAAGCGCGACAGACAGACAAAGTTACTATCGCATTTATAATATTAGTATGGATTAAAAAACCACTACTACAATTTCGTCTATATCATGGCTATGAAAAAAGTACAAGTGTTTGTAACAAGTAATAACGTACCGTACTTTCATATTAATAATTTTATATCATTTCGAAGATGCGTAGTGGGATCGCATGGTGGGCTTTAATACCCTCTGTACAGAGGAGGGAGGCCTTTGTCAAGCAGACTGTCACTTTTCTGTTTTTTCTTGTTTAGTACTTATGTTTACTAAATAATGTAGGCAAAACTGTATAATTAATCCATTAAGTAGACACAGAATTCGGGCAATTATTTTTTTCATGAGTTATAAAATCTTTTAAATTAGCCGATAAGTTATGATCCGCCCGAATGGAGGCGAACAGAATGGCGTAGTGGGTAGTTTAACTGCGTCCTGCGCCAGAGCCTGAGGGTTCGATCCCCACTACTGGAAAAATATAGTGTTTTTCTAGTGTCTGAATGTTAAAGTAATTATCAGTTATTAGTACTCATATACTATTAATAGAGAACGTTGTGTAAAAAGGTGTCCTAAAATGTTTATTATTTATCATTAATAGAAATGAGATAAAAAAATTGAAAAAATTCAAAATGCATTTTTTATGATATTAGATAGCAAGCGAGGTGGCAGTTCACCTGATGTTAAGTGATAACCGCCGCCCATGGAAATTTGCAATACCCAATGTAGGGATATAGATGCGTTGCCAGTTTCAATAAAGTGGGCCACGTTTACCTCACATACCAGACGAAACGCAGAAGTATAAGACTTCCACGTCACGCCGATCTTCTTTGAACTCGATAATTCACTAAAAAATAAAAAATCACTAGGCTTAAAATTATTTAATTTATGAATAATAGGATTAATAAGTTAAATAATCTAGGTCCGGGTAACATAACACATTGATGTCAATGAATTTTTACCTTATAGACGACTACTATTTGGCTCATTTCCACGATTTACTCGAATGAAACATACATATTATCGCCGTCTGTATAATTTATGCTTTATTACATTTTCATTTCAACGACAAATTAAAACCACTTGTCAATTGGCAGACGTCTTGCTATTATCGTATTTTGTTCTTGTAGATCAAAGTGAACCTTAGCGAAAATTAGCTTGGCAATTAGAAGCATTAAAGAATTTCTTGAACGCTCTATGTATTGACAGAAAGTCATTGGCAGCGACTACCACAAACGTAGTAACGTATGTGGCAGCCAGCTAGAGTCTAAAGAGATAAATCGGGTGGCTGCTTGTGCCGCAAGGGAGTAGCGATATCAGTCGCGTTCGAACGACCAACCTCTTCACACGTTTCTCCATTCCCAAAGGTGCTTGAAATAAAGTGACGTGATTATATTTAGTGATATATATGATTAAAGCTGGACTAATTTTCAACAAGTGTCAATAAGTAATAGATACGTTTTAATCTCAGAATCTCCTAACACGATGTGGGATGACGTAGTGGAAGAAACCCCAGCCCCGGCCCAGGCTGAGGCACAGGCAGCTCCTAGTGACGGTCCAGCAGAGGAAGCGTCTGCAGAAGGAAATCCTGAAGTCGCGGAACCCCCACCGCCGGAGAATAACACAAAAAATGAGCCGCGCCGGCTAGTGTTCAAGCACTGGATTCGGTTAGTAATATGAAACTTAATACTCTCAAACAAAATTAATTTAAAATTAATATTGTGCCACATAGTTCCAAAGGTAATAAATGGTTTTGTTAATTTGAAACATCGAAGCTGATAGTATTTTCTTTGTATTACAGGCCGAAATTCCTCCAGTACAACTATATCTATGATTATCAGCGCAACTATTATGACGATGTTATTTCATACTTGGATAGACGTAACAGAGGCTTACCGGCAGAAAGACCCCGGGCCCAAACTTGGGGTGAAAGAGCGCTCAGGACGTACCTCTCTAAAGACACCAGTTACTTATCCAAGACTTACAACAAGGATACAACTCTGCTTCACCACATTTCGACTGGTGCTCGTTTCCAACGCTATCACAGCAAGGCTCGCATTGCGAGGAAGTATTCCAATCTAGGATTTAGCTCAGTGTCTCTCTAGCTTTGCTTTAACACCCTCGCTTAACTTGGCTTTGCGGACGTCACACCAGTCTTCCGGCGTGACCTATTTATCGATGTTACAGGATTTCGTTGGCGTGAGTCATCTTACTTAGACAAGTGATAAGCGGCTTATGGTATCAAACCTGTTCGGAAGCTGTCCGCATTCCCATTTTTAAAAACAACAACGTTAAGAAGACAATAAATACTAAGTATTATAATGTCTTTCATTAAAGCTAGCGATAATCCACGTAAAGAATTAAAAAATAAGTTTCACATAGTTTTCTTACCTGGTCGTAAAGCCAAATAGTTGATACTTTTCTTCAACTTACCTGAATTTAATTTAGCGTTGCGATTTCTTGAGGAACAGATGCTAAGCGATGTTTACTTGAATTGTATTTGAGATCTCCGTTAGTTACCTATAAATTTCGAGTTCCATTATCTGTTGTTGAGATAAGAGCGAGTCCATATTTTCGGTGTACGTCTTTTATTACATAAACATAAATGAATTTAACTTTTCTACATAAATAAACATTGATCTTAAATATAAATATTGATAGTAGTAGACGATGAAAAAGAAAAATGGACAAGATTTTCATTTCAACGGATAGCCGTTGAAATGAATATTTTTCTTTTTGCATAAAAGTTCGCAGTTAGCTAGAGATCAAGCAATGGAATACAGTTTACATATATTTTAAATTAATATGTAACTTCCCATATAAAATAAAAATAGCTTTCTTCATCGGACTTACTTACTTACTTACTTATGAGTTTGATTCTTGTAATCAAAATAACCTATGATTATTTTGATTACAAGAATCAAACTGAAATTTCTTAATGACAAATAAATAAACACGCTGGATACAATACTCCTAACTAAATGTTGTTTTGAAGATTCAGTTACATATAACTTGTTTTATAAGTTATTGGTTTTAAATGTATACAGTTCTTTACCAATAAAACGGTCTGATTTTATTCTTGTCTACAAGTAATCGGACGTCTAGGGTCTCTTGATTACTCTAACATTTAATTATCTACAATTTGGCCGATTGCCGGCTTTACCTGGTAGGTAACAAAGTCTTCTGGCCATAATCCAAACGATCACATTCACTGAACTGTCAAATATAAGTTATTTTAGATATCTTGACATTGAAATTTAGCAAGCGATGAGCAGATCTATCACATTGACAATAAGAGATACGATTTGGGTATTACATTTTTACAAAGAAGTTGACAATTTAATACATAAATTGTTATTCAATTTATGTTTACTTACATTCTTAAATTTTTCGGTTATATTGTGAATTTAATAAATAAAGGTATTTAATATGTATACCAAAAGTACCGTTATAAGTATAACACCGCCATTAGCAAGAATTTTCTTCATTTTTACTTCTATTTATATGTTTACTTTAATTTTTACTTCTGTTAGTTTTTATAGTATAATAATAGTTGGAACAGTATTACAAATTTAGTAGGGTGTATCTCCTCCTTTCTCAAATTGGTTATTCGAGGGAATTAAATAACGGTCATTTATCAGGCAATTTGTCTAATAGGGTATATTATTCGTATCGATTCGAAAAACAGGATCAATTGCGGCACATTATTCACGGACACTGAATCACTAGTAATTTGGTGCTGCTAATTATCGTGGATGTGTAACATAAAATTTTTGGAAAGAGTTAAATTAACTTGCTTTATTTATCTAGCAATTAATTTGTATTATTAATTAAGTAATTATTAAAAATGGGAAAAATAAAAAATATGCTTAACGTAAAGTAGTCACAAAACAGCCCGACTTACTAATTGTAAAAAGGTGGAGTTGCTCATTAAGATGTAGTCATCATAACCTTTATGTTCATTGAAATGAAAACCTTGAAATGTTAAACTCATTTATTGTATTAGTATAACTCATAAATACCAAAAGATATTTATTAACAGTATGCAATGCGTGGAAAGGATAACAATTTTTTCTCATTTAAAATAAGCTAATTCAAATGAAACATGATTAAAATAGAATAGGATTGCTTCCTGATTAAAAAGAATCATCAGATTAGAAAGGTTATCTAATTCATATAATAACCAAATTAAATGATACAATTACATATTATACTTAAAAGCACCTAATTTATAATATTTATAAAGTTTATTTCAAAAACGGACACTTCAAATTGAACAAAAACAAACGGATTTCTCATAAATAAAAACTCGACCTGATTGAGACAATTTCCGTCTTTAAAGCTGTCTAAAAATAATTAAGATAGATAATTGCCCCATATAAATTACATTTGTCAGCCCATGACTGCCTCGGCCAAAAAAATGGCACGGACTAATTTCGTTCTTAATTTATAACAAACAACACCTTGGCTTATTTTAGTACCCTGATGCGTGTAACAATTGAAACCATAGCATTCGTAAACTATATCAGTTTCTCTCACTTAACTGAGGAACGAGCGTATATTAGGAAACTTTTAAGTCCATAAATCCAAAGAAACGCAGTCAAAGAGTGGAGCGGTTGCTATACGCCGTCAGAGCTATATCATGCCGCGTATATTCATTAACATTTCCTCTTTCTAGGCCACTGTCTTGGGCGACTATTTTTAGATACTTCGTGCCCAGCTAAATAATTATCGAGAACTCTTACGCCAATTAGAAATATTTTGAATTCCTCGAAAGTAGCACACGACTGTAATTTTAATTTTTAAGAACCCTTGGCCCCCAATGGGCGCTGTTAGAGAACTTTCAGAACGCCAGACAACAAGGAAACTTACTAAAACTATCTAGATACTTGAGCATTCTTATGACTCAAACAAGTTTCTACTTTATATCGCGATACTCCGTCTCCCATGCAGAAACATTCGTGTGTGGCAAGTATAAAGTTTCATTGCATGCGTAAAATTTTATTGCGTATAAAATGTTATCGAAAACTCTAACAACATTTTTAGCAGTTTCGAAGTTGTTAAATTTATCAACGGGTAACGGTGTTAACCATTAAGCAAGAATTGAAATTATTACTGAAATCAATATTAATTTAATCCACATAAACCCTCATTTTTTTCATCGTCAAAAGCTAAATTTCTTGATGATTTTGTCCGTGTAACTACTAAAAATACTAAAAATTACTACTATACTACATAGTAAAACCATCGAAACTTTCTAGACAATGTCTGACTATTCATTTCTGGTGTTAATATTTAAATTTTACCACTTCGTTTCCCCTGGAATTGCACAATTTACTCCGCGTAAAGAATTAACAACAAAATTTCAAAGTTTTACTGAAGGAAATCAATTTATCAGGAATGTCATTGACGGCTCAAGTAAGTTCAAAAAATGTCAATGAAAAACTTTAACGTAATTTTAATTATAAATAGGTAGTACGTTTCTTTAATATATGAAGTTATAAAATACGTTTTTATAATATTATAGAAACGTATTTTACATATATATGAAATCCTATGAAATTTATTTTTGATAGCTGTTGTAATAAAGAATTTACGCTATTTCATTAATAGCTGAATCATCCATAAAATTTACAAGTATAATTGACCTTTAACACTTCATTATAAAATTTATATTTAGAAGATTTAACCGTGGTCAAGGTGCCTACCGTTTCAATTAACAATATCAATTTAACGCCTTTTTTTAGAATTTACTAATAGACCAAGACTTATAATGTTCACTGCGCCCTCTAAACTCTGTGATGGCAAGTGTAGTAACGAAAATATAATGATGGCGTTTCCACTATACATTGGAAAAAGCGCTAAGCAACACTACAAAGAAATGTATAAAACAGATCATGAAAATATCAAATTGATGAGACCTAAAGCACCCTTCGAACGAAGAACTACACGAGAAAAACGCATATTGAACACCTTATCTAGTAAAACTGAAACTCCAATATCATCGACTCAGTTTGCAACAATTAGTAAAAAACCATATCCTCTAAAATATCGCTGTTGTAAAGTAGGGTCTAGCATTTGTTACAAGGAAATAAAAGAAAATTGATTTATTTAGAAGTATATAAAAATTCGATTTACTTCAAATTTACATCTATCATTCTCAATTTACACAATTTGTATATGATATTTACTGTACCAGATACGGATAAAGCAATTAATACAAATGAACTTTAAGCAATATCTGTACTTTTATTAGTCTTGATAAAGTGCGGTCGCATTTCAATTTGCGATCAGAGGCATGTGTTCTGGCGTTAGAGAATTGTATAATTGAGAATTAAATTCTTCGGCATGTTTTATTAACAAAAAACCATACTTCACATTTGGACTCAATGTACGATCACCGCCTGGCCAGTGAACGTGACGTTTAAGTCTCCTTTAAAGTACACTTCAGTGTGGATAAAATTTATACTTTCTATTCTCTTCAAATGCAGAATACAGTAAACATAAAGTAAATGTTCAGATATAGAACCTATTTAATATGCAAGGACCATAATATTCAGTATTTTTGTTTAAATTATATATTTAATGCAACAGTAGTAGAAGCAATTAAACAATCGAGACATAGCCAAAACTTTGCGCCGCGTCTGTTGTTAAAAGTTCTGTCCTTACGGCGTTTTATTAATTTTCCACTGCAGTATTTTTTTATTAAAAATTATTACACAAAATACAGGTTAATTGAAGACGACTGTAAAGGTAGATACTTGGTGCTGTTAGAGATTACATTGGCATAATTTAGTCTTAAATTACGTCGCTAAACCTCATGTTTTCGCACGGAAGGTCATCGGTGCATGATACTGCGATTGAATATTCCTTAACACATACTGTTAATTATGTAGTATTTTCTAGGTAATTACAGCAATTGGATAGAAAAAGAATATCGTAAGCATAATGACTACATCTTTCGAAATGATCCAACGAGCAATGAAAAGCAACGTCCAAAAACAGATTTTCAGGAAAAAGAGAAGAGAGCTAAATTCTGCTGTCCACAATCAATTATGATGCCGACGTTTATAACAGAAGACGAATTTGATAAAATAATTAATCGTTTTCAAGAAAAAAATCACCAGTAATAAAAAATGCGTCCATAACGAAATTCAAAATTCAAAATAAATTCAAAATGATGAACAATACCAATAAAATAAAACATTCTACAGAATATTTAAAGTTTATTTTTTATTACTTTACTAAATTGTTAATATAAACTTAAATAAGTCTTTGCACGCATAATATTCAATCTATAGCGAAAGATTCAATTTAAATCGCAGCAACAGCAAATTGCGTTTCAGAGCAATAAAAATTTCTGCCACACTCACACACGCTGCAATGTACTCAATAATTTTGTATATTGTTTTTATGTTATTTCATTACTCTTTGTCTAACGAAAAGCGCAACGATGAAAATTTAAATCAACAATCGAATCAAGGTACGAGTATTGCAAAACAGTTTATTTTACAACAACGCCAAACGATAACTATTATATTTTATTTAAAATTTTATCAATCGTGCATAAGAAAAATTAATATGTAAGTTAGGTACAATTAAATACGCTTTTTCTTACCTCTAAAATCAAGGTGTATGAGACTATTTAAGGACTTCTAAGGACTTCTAAGAAAAGGCTGCCTACTGCTTAAAGCGTGACAACGCATTTAAAAGAAGTTACTTCTGGTGCTTTCTATGTTTAAAAACTCATTGATTATATATACCCTTAGAAGTTTGATGTCTATATCTGTATCTAACTACTTTTCATTTTCAGTCCTTAGGATAGTGAAACACTAATGAAATTATAGATTGTTGAGATATTTATACCACCGATATTTGACTGGCACAATAAACATCTACTTTGACTAACGACAAACAAACCTTTTTTCTTAACGACTCTTTAAGAAGAAAGGCAATAAACAAAAAGACGCGCGTCGACTCTATCTCTACAAGACGCTGTGAAAACATACGGATATAGAATTATTTTTATCTAATGTATATTGCTTATTGTTTCATTAAAAATTTTTAAATGTTTCAGTTTAAAGGAAAATGTTATTTAAATCAATAATAAATTAAAATGAAATACCAACACGGGACTTTATATGATATTATGTCCACCCAACAAGGAGTCGTTAAATTTCTTTGTAGATTTAACAATAACGACGGCAGAACTGTTATTATCAAAATATTTAAAAAATTTACATTACAAGTTTGCGAACATTAAAATATCTAATGTTAATAGATATGTTAATGTGTTTATTCTCATTTTCAGACGGTCGAAATCATGTAACACCAATTATAATTTTACCAGTAATCATTAAAGCATACAGATATCCACAATTGCCCAAAATGGTTGCAACCCAAAGTACAACGATATAATTTTTTTTTTTTTTCATAAAAAGGTATCGATGCAAGAGTTTCTTATTTATCCTACTATAATGTATTTAAAATTATCATTTCCAAGTACACTAACAGCTAATCGCATTGAGTCAATAAAGAATTGTGTCAAAAGTGTATATTAACCGCACAGGTGGTCAATGGAAACAATGCAAGTAGCAGGTGCTAAGAAACGAGACTAAAATAAGTCTACTTTTTACTAGTTGTAAGGTCACGTCTTTTCAATAACGTCAATGCATTGTTGAATAAATCTTAGTGTGATCTTTTTTATTGATTTGTTATACCTCAACGTGAAAAATAAGTTTGCCAGATGATATTTTATGTATGGTTTACATTGCAAGTATTTTAACACATTTTTTTAAAAACAATTACACTGAAGTTATCATAAACGATTAGTGAACATTAGATTGGTGTTTGCGTACAACTTTTTTACATACATGTCTACATGTGATATATTACAAATATAAAATATGAGCACAGGATTTTTTAAAACACATATTGATGAATTTGATTTTTTTATATATTCAAGATTCTCAGACAAGTAAGGTTTGCCCGTCTTCATATGTTATTTTCCTATCTTGTAATCTTTCAAGGTTTTATCATAAGAAACCACAAGGGCGTACTACTTTTTTACTCCCACTCTTATTCATCTGAACTGAAAACTAGCATTTGTAAATTTATTTTCGTCGCGTCGCCGTGATTTTGCCTTAAGTATTGCAGCCCTGATATTTATGTGTCATACTATTACTTTAGACACTGGCAGACTACCAGTGCCAGAGCTCTCTTCAAGACCCAATGACGTCACGGTGAGTCAAATGCCTATTTATCACTATATTACGCATGTAATTTTTGGACGAATAATTATTTTTGTACAAATACGATGACATTTTATACTTCTTTTATTTCGTCGTCGTAGATACAATTAAGTTATGCACGTATTTAATTAAATGAACGATATTTTGAGGCTATCTTTTCATTTTCTTTATTAATTAACCATAATTATTGAACTATATAGATAAATTCGGATAGTTTTGTTACAACGTTTTGAACTCAAACAGTAAGTTATTATGACAATTTATACATGGAATTATATTCTTACGCAAATAAGTCAAGGAAATTGGTATAAAAGTAAAATTTATTCAAATCCCGAAAATTGTATGTTTTATAAGAGCATGTTTTATATCATTATAAATAATTAACGTACATAGGATGTAACATATGGATTGTTTAATATAAATGAGACACACTTACCTGTCTCTGAACCTTTCAAAGTTCATATTGTTTTCCATTAAGCAGACATCGGAGCAACAGCGCGTTTTTGCTTGACGCTATAGGTAATTAATTAAATTTTTATTGAACGGCGACGTCTAGTTAATAAACGGCCATTTATTCAGCTCGTTTAATGAAACAAAATTGTTAATGAGTGTTCAATGTTTCCTATAACAAATACTTCATCATGTGCACCGATTACATTGCGATTAAAGTTAATTTGTTTGTTTTTAATCAAGATATTTAATTCAAAATCTAAATTTCAATATACTAGTATTACCTTATGAGTTAACGTGGTCTCATAATATTTGAAACCTCTTTTCTTTGAACGGTTTCGATACATCCGTTTAAATTAATTATAACTCTGTCCCTTCGAGTACTATATTTAAATTAAGACGTATACTGGATAACATTCAGACAGTTTTAAAATAATCTAATATTAGTTGTTTGTATTACACGTGATACTTCTCTAATTCTTCAGCTTTCCCTTACTTTATTTCCACTATTTGTCTATATTGGTTATAACATTTAAAATCTAAATTTTCATATATTGTTTTTCATTCTAGCGTAATAAATGGAAACTGTACGAATTCTGATATTGATTAGTCTCGTGAAAACAAATAAAGGTTCAATAACTGGAGTGACATACATGGACCATTTCGACTTTGAAGACAGATATAGAAACGTGAATGAATGCAATCCTTTTTACTGGCATCCTTTGCACTTACCTGAAGAATGCATTGAAATGTACGAAAAACTGATTCGTTCAAACATAGCTTCTTTGGGGTCCGTTCAAGTGTTTAAGACAGAAGGCTCGCATGAATTTCTTTACGATGTCCATCCCTCAACATTTACAACTATGCCGCAGAGAACAGATGTAAGAGACATGTATTATAAGAGGCAAAGATTATCACCAATACAGAGAATGATCGAAATGGTTAGACGAGACTCAAGAAGAGTACCAGTCGCACCAGAAATACGGATGGCACCAAATGGCAGTCCTGTAGCTTTGTACCATCAACCAATATCTAGTGCTAGTGAGACATTGATAAAAGAAATAGCAGACGCATATCGCCAAACAATGTATCAAAAGAATAAATACACAACATAAAAACCTAATCATTTTAATTACTAGTATATTTATTTTTTAAGTTATATATACCTTTAAATTAATTAAGCTCTTTATTAATTCTCTTAACTCTTTTACGATCTATAATTAAATCTTATGATACGAGAAAGTATGTATTTAATACAAGTACAAAGCAAAACGTTTTGTCAATAGTTCTGATTTAGTGTAATAAAGTAGAAAATACTTTACTTTCAAGATAATTTAAGAGAAACTATGGCATCTTTACTAGTGGATTTAATGACTCATATGTACTCGTATGTTTCGCTCACGAATCCAATGAATAATTGCAGATTATATGAAAAAGTCGGTACCAATACAATCACTATTGTGTACTTTTTTTTTCAATAAAACAAGTGGAATGCCAAATTAAAACAAAAAGTAGTTGTATTGTTAGAAAAGTCATAAATACGCTAAAATTACTCACAGTTTCATTTCTTATTCTTAGTCATTTTTATTTAGCTATGGGAATGCATATGAACTTAAAAATAAAGGTATGTTTGCTTCATAAATAAAAAAATATTTAAATGTATTGTAATACTCGATTTCATTCCTTTCAGATACTTCTTCTTCTCATTGAAAATTTAGTTCAGTGTAGCATAGACGGTATATCATTTTTGGATAACCTAAATTCTAGAAAGGTGTTTAATAATATACAAGAAGATCCATGTAATCCCCTGTACTGGTACCCAAAACATATACCAGAATATTGTCAATATCGGAAATTCCCGAGTCCAATAAAGCCTGATTCCCTACCAAGACCTATGCCAATTCCTGTACCTCTGCCTACCAACCCAATGATACCAACTGGAATTGTAGCTCCTATGCTACCCCCACCATTAATCATGCCACCTTTAACTTTTAGCACACACTTAGTAGCGCAAAATCCCTTGGCTACGGTATTAGGACCCCAGAACGTCCAAGGCCAATATCTGAATTTTCACAATCCCACATTTCCAATTGATTATGGAACACAAGGAGCAGCAATGGTTCCTGGTTTACCTGGGATTGTTTCGCGTGATGGAGGAATAAACATTTTGCCGTTTTCCGATGCTTATTCCGAATTATTAGAGAAACATAAACAGAAATTGATACGCAGAAAACTTCAGAAAATTTTAAGACGTTACGAAGATTATCCAAGCCCACGGCATTTCTGGCGCCGCAAAATATTTAGAGACGTATCCTCTGAATAGAGTAATACCAGCTACATACATATATGACAGGTACATAGGTACCTAATTGGTAATTATTTACTCAAAAATGAAATAAAACTCTGATTTACACTTATTCTATTTATAATAGTGGCTCTTGCTACATACTTTAACCTGAACCTTCCTAAAATGTTTCAAACTTACATAAATGAATACAATATTAATGTCATAAGCTAAAACATTATTACTTACAGAACCCAGATGAAGCACGAGTAGGTTGAGTAACATCAATAGTTATTACCGTCTAAATAAATAAAATATTTCCAAAAGGAATTTGTAAATTAAATGCATGTTAAAGTTTGCGCGTAAAAGTCCGGCCAATGTGAGTCGAACTCTCCCAAGAAGGGCACTGTATCATGATCTATAAAAACGGCAAAAAATGTCATGTCTGTTGTATGGGAGCCCGACTTTAATATTCTTGTATTCTGTTTTGTAGTATTTGTTGTTATAAAGGCAATAGAAATAATAATCATCGGTTCATGAGATACATTTGTTACAATTTATAATACGACAAACAGGTTTGTCGTATTAAAATTATATTGTATTTATCAATTTAGGTACCAAGTGTAAAGTGATAAAAATTAGACACAAAATACTAACAATTCCAGCACCACACATGAACTAGAAATAATTTAAGGTAACCAACGGTGTGTCGAAATAAAACAATTTTGAGTCATTAGATTTGGCAATATAAATCATTGGGCACACTTACAAGGAGAATAAATGAATCAATTCTAGAATATAACGTATAAATCTAGTGTCCTTAAATAGTAAATTATAAATGAAGCTTATTTCATTATCAGTTTTAATAATTTAATCTATTCAAATACTAGTTGCAAAATCATAACGGTAAATCTTGCAAAATTTGAGCGATGAGAATATATCAATATAAACTTAAAAATTAATAATACCAAAATTATAAAAGCCATTCGATTTTTCGTTTCAGCAGGTAAATATTAATTAAAAGTATCGTAACCACGCATGAGCTACAACTCGAATTATTGCCGTGCCGGATCCAAATTGAGACTAATTAGTTTAAAACGTAAACATAGGCTTCATTTCGAACAAAGGCCCTCAAATTAATAGTGTCATAAAATCAATTAGTAAAAAGCATGTATGTATATTTACATATGCAACGCCTGGTACAGGCAACCGTTGGAGTACAGAGAACATGTTTACACCCTTCGTCACTATGATTTCTTTGACGGTTTTACATTCATTATCGATGGAGCTATTCTTATCACAATACATATTATATGTATTGTTGGTAAGTTCAAATATATTATACATATTGTGCTTAGTAATCTAATACTTATGTTAAGTACTTCGAGTATTTACGGAATTCCGATTAGTTACTCAGATATGGCTCCAATATTGGATTTTGGTTTGTTCTTTCCGGAGCCGTAATGTCAATACAGACGGTTAGACCTCAAGATATTCTTTTATACGACCAACATTTGCATTACGAGTAGAAGGTTAACTCTGATTTATTTATCGATTTATTTTACGTCTGGATATAAAAAATGTGTGTTCCGTGACTACGAACGCTGTAAAATACTCGATACGACTTAAATCTGTAATAATAAAATCATAGATAAACAAAACAGAATTGTTAATTTTTGGCATATCTGATTAGATACATAGTTTCGTAACCTTTACACTTTAATCATATAAAATTACGCCTGTGTGTTAAAATAAACACATGCTCAGTGCTTATCGAAATTACGAGCGAATAAAAAAAGAAATGAAATAATATTTCATAATCATCATTCATCATTTCAGCCTGTTCTAGTCCACTGTTGAACATAGGCCTTCCCCACAGGCTGCCGCGAAGAGAAATCCTGCGACATCTGCATGGATTAACGCGAAAATTTTGATGCTATTTGAAATAGAAGAAAAGTGTCCAATCTTCCGTCCCCGAACTAAGTAAACGTGTCTTGCGGGTGAGTATCCGTGAATTAGAATTTAAAATTACAATGACTGCTCTATCGACGCAAATATAATATAATGGAGGATAAGTTCTATCTTATTTTATAAATATTTGTGTTATTATATATATATATATATATATATATATATATATAAAATTGGTTAGGACATTACTTGATTTCATTTTTTAATAATGTACATCAACTAAAATATACATTTACCAATGATATTACATTTACGCTTTCATAACGAAAGAGGTGACTTGTAACAGCAGCCGACTGGTAGCTTCTCCGATAGTGCACTTCAAATCAGATCAGACCCCTAAGTGACTCTGAAATAAAAATGAAATGTCAATATAAATCGCACTTTCTTTCTCTCGTCTAAAACGCACAACATTTTGTGAAGGAACTAGAGGACAGCGACCCCTTCTACTAACTGTAACATCCCGGACGTTCTTTCTATTTATAGTATTGCAATCAAGTAATGTAACCAACTTAGCCCGAATTAGTTGATAGCGCACGAATTGTGTATAAAAATTTCCCAAAGAATATTTTAAAAAAGGCACATTAACAATTATATTAAACCCGAATTTGTTAATTTAAAATAAAGAGTTAAAATTCAAACTGCCAATTATAATAAATGTGTTATAAGCTTAGGTCATAAACTTAGGTCGGGATTATTATAAACTTAGGTTTCTCAAAAATACTATATATATTTGATTATATTATACAGACAGCTGAGGTGAAAAATGTTGACAAGTGTTCATAAGTAACTAAATGTCATCTCTCAACTACAGAAGTGAGAAATTTTTGATGGATCCTACAGCAAAAGTAAAAGTGCTGTAAAATATTAATAGTAGAAATGTATTGTTATGAAATACATCAACGTTACCTTAAACAGCGTAGCTGAAACAAATAGTTCTTTTGTATTTGGAGTTCGTAGAAATCTACATCTTGAAAATAAATATATTGAGGCTAATAATTTTCCTTTGCAGCCTGTTCCCGTAAATATTTTTGATTTGGTTGAGATGTTGGGCCAAATTGAATAAAGAATAAATAACGTGGATAGAATATTCTGTCACTGAAGTTTTTAGTTCCAATCGCTTGTTTATTTTTATTATTAGCAAACTTCCTCTACAGAGTCGTGGTTCGTACTTTTTATTTATTAGCATTTTTTTGTACTGTAACCGCTGCGTACATCAACCGGCCTGATAACGGTATAGCAGTGAGTTCATATTTACATTTGTGGTGCACAGTTATTGTTATAGGGGAAGAAGCATGGACGGAGACCTCATCGTCGCAGGTTTAATTAGGTTGGTGTTATTTCT